TTACCTTTCTCTTTCTTTTGATATAGAGCCTCAGGCTGTACCCTCCCTGACCTGGAACTTACTACTATGGGGCCCAAGCTGCCCCTGAATTCAAGAACCTAATGCCTCAGCCTCCTATGTGCTGAGAGTACATGTCTGAACTACCACCCTTGGCTTTGTTTATTTTGTTCTTTTTGAGAAAAAGAAATTACGTGTGTGTGTGTGTGTGTGTGTGTGTGTGTGTATGTGTGTGTGTGTGTGTGTGCTTGTAGAGGTCAGAGGACAGCTTGTAAGAATCTATTCTCTCCTTCAGTCATGTGACTCTTGATGAATTGAACTCAGATTGCCCGGTTTGGCCACGGCAAGCGCCACAAGATATCCCCAAACCCATTGAGCTCTTTCCCTGGCCCCACTTTATTCTTATAGCCAAGAACAATTTTCTCTGCTTTGTTTTCATGACAAGGCCAGAGACAGGAAAGGCCATCTGTTCTGACTAGTTTTATGGCAACTTGTTGAAAGCTATAGCTTTTGGGGAAGAGGGGAAACTCAATTGAGAAAATGCCCCACCAGATTGGCCTATGGTGCATTTTCCTGACTGATGACTCATGTGGGAGTACCCAGCTCAAAGTGCTTGCTATCACCTCTGGGCTAGTGGTCCGGGTGCTATTAGAAAGCAGAGGTAGTGGTGGCGCCTTTAATCCCAGCACTTGGAGGCTGAGGCAGGTGGATCTCTGAGAGTTTGAGGCCAGCCTGGTCTCCAGAGATCCAGAACAACCATCAGTATTATTACACAGAGAAACCCTGTCTTGAAAACAAACAAATGAAGAAGAAGGAGAAGGAGGAGAAAGAAAGAAGAAAAGAAAGAAAGAAAGAAAGAAAGAAAGAAAGAAAGAAAGAAAGCAGGCTGAGCAAGCTACAAAGAAACACCAGTAAGCAGTGTTCCCGTGACCTCTGCTTCAGGTTCTGTCTCCAGGTTCTTTCCTCAAGTTCCTGCTTGACTTCCTTCAATGATGAACTGTGATGTGTGAGTATAAGTGAAGTAACTTGCCGGGCGTTAGTGGCACATGCCTTTAATCCCAGCACTCGGGAGACAGAGGCAGGCAGATCTCTGTGAGTTCGAGACTACCCTGGTCTACAAGAGCTAGTTCCAGGACAGACTCCAAAACCACAGAGAAATCCTGTCTCGAAGCCCCCCCACCCAAAAAAAAAAGTGAAATAACTTTTTCCACCCCAAGTTGGGTTTTGGTCATGGTGTTTTGAATCCCCAAAAAAGACACTATCTAAAGCCTTTTATTTGTCTTACTAATTTTTATATTTATTTGTTCATTGTCCATACCTCCCCATGCCCCCTCTCTAACAGAAAATTGCCTTGAGGATACAGGTTTTGTACGCCTTACCATTTAATCATCAGCAACAGACAGTGCCTAATATTAATTATAAACACATGTTGACTACTGGGTCAACCTAGGTTAATGCTTATGTAACAGTAGAAGGAAGAAGCCCCAGTTTCACTTCCAAGAACTGGGGGATTGGCAAGTGTGCCTCTACTTTACTGACTTTGGAATGAATGCTATCTGCTTCTGCTTCTGTTTGTTCCCTCATTTGTCACAAACATTTTATTGCATAGCTGCTTTATACCTGACACCATACTGGGTATAACTCATGCAGCATGAACAATATGGAAATAATACCTATCTTAAACGAGTTTAAATTCCCAGGAGAGAAATGGCAAGGAGACAACAATTATAAAGCACTGTGATCAGTTCTATAGGTTCACAGTAGAACCACCTAACCCATTATGTGAATGAGATTAAAGAAGGCATTCCCTGATATGGGGATTACAGGCATTTCCAGCTCCGGCAGGAACCATTATGTTAAGATCTCAGAGGTGGCAGGGTCCAGGACTGATACCAACTGTCTTAAGTGAAAATAGCAGGTGGCAGACAGAGGAGCTTGGTAACTGAAGATAGCTCATAAAATGGATCTGACTGACTGAGAGGGTGTCAAAATTATCAGTGGCTTGGTGAAGACGGAAGCTTCTCATTTAATAACGTGGTATAATGACTTCCCAGAGAAGCATAGCTAAGATGGAGACAATCACCCATAGCTTCAGGTGTAAATTCCCCCCAGCTGCCGGGAGAGACTGGGGAAGGCCCCCTACAGCTGTGGCCCCCTTTTATTCCTGACATTTCCTCTGAGGGAATCTGAACAAGACAGTAGCGTCTTCCCTTGAGAGGCCCTTCAGAAATCAACCATTTTCTTCTTAGCCGAATTCGCCTCCCTCCTTTCCAGATCTCCTTCAGGCCCGTATCAGAAAATAGATAATAATTACTTGTTGACGAATGAATCACAGAAGGTGTCGCCTAAAGAGAACATCTCCTAAGCCCATACTCACTGTGCCTACAGTGAAGGTGGAGGAAAGAAGTAGAGAACCTGCGTTATTCTGGGCCTGACGAAGTTTTCGGTTTATTTTATTATTATTATTATCATTTATTTATTTTTAAGAAAATCCCTTTCACTGTTCAGAAGTGACCCTCCCCTTCGCTTCTGAATACGTGTCTCCTCCAAACTACAAGTCCCACAAGGCCCAGCGCCAACGGGCACCATCTTGACACACCTTAGCGCGCATGTCGGCGGGAGAGAGAGCGTTTGGGGAGAAGAAGCCCCGCCTCATTGTAGTTCATTGGCCAAGGGCGCCAGCAGCGGGCTCAGCGGTTGGCTACCGAGCCCGCCCGTCCACCGCGTCGGTCGGGGTCAGAGTGCGCGGAGGTGAGTCGGTGTGTTGTGGACTCGTGGTGCTGGCTGCCGCTGTTGAGGCGGCCTGGAACGGGCTGTGGGGAGCGGGCGGAGCTGGCCCTGCTTCTGTCTGGTCAGCGCCGCAGG